AAACAAAAATGGCCCTCTAGTCAATACTAGATCCTCCACAGGTCATAACGGGCCCTCTACAAACCAAAATGGGCTCTCCACAGGCCAGAATCAGCCTTCTACATGCCAGCATGGGCCCTAAACAGTAAATAATGGACTGAATACAGATCAGAATAGGTCTCTTCAGGCTAGATGGGCCCTTCAGTCCATCAAGGGCCTGCTACTGGTCAGACTGGGACCCTCTGCAGGCTTAGAATTACCCTATTTTGGTCAGAATCAACCTTAATAGACCAGAATCAACCTGCAACTTGTCAGGATAGACTGTAAGAGGCTTGCATTTACATTGCATGTAGAGTTACAGGTTAACACTTTTCAAGTTCAGAATGGGCCCTCAACAGGCCCTCCAAGTTGAGGGGTGGTGCCACCCCCATCAGCTTTCAATTTGGGGTGAGCATCGCTCACTGCTGCCCCCCCCCCCCCCCCCTCCCGGTTTCTGTGTCCTTGCACACAGGTAAGGAAAAGCAAGCCTGCTCTTCCATTTAATCAATACCACGCTGAAGGAACAGACAGTGATCGTCCAAAGAGGCTTCACACTTTTCACAAGGAATGTTAACATACACTTTATGTCCACCGGAGTGTACATTTGGCTCCAATAGGAGCCCTGAGCCCCTTGTTTGGCAATACCAGTGGCATATTGCCGGGGCAGCAAATGCCCTGTATAAGGCCTGTGCGCGCAGGTAGATGAGAAAGACGCATGGGATGCCTACCCTGTAATGTGAACGTTGATAACCCCAACGTAGAGGGAACAGTGGGGCAGACGTTCCCACAAAACGTCGCACCACCACCACCCAGGTATAAGGGGGAAAACCGCTTCAGGTGCCCACCGCGGCGACTTTGCAAACCACCTTGCGCGCGCATGGCAAAACGGGCATCCTATTACCCGGTTACCAAAAATAAGCTAAAATAACCAAAAATAAACACTTACTACCAAATTTTATCCATCACCATCAAAGTGAACACGACACCACCGATTGGGTCATTGTGACCAGCATGCTTGTGTTCGTCACCGGTATAAGGAAACTGTGAACAGCAATGTCTGTTTAAATTACCAAATATACGAGGGAAATGACTGGTGTCAGCTTGAGAGAGCGAGGGGGCTGGGCCTGGGGATGGGGCTTGACATAATGTGGCCAGGGGCGGCGGATTTGGGGAGGGCAGGTAGCAGCTACTCTCTGCCGGAGGCAGGCAACATTTACACGCGCCCGGTTGGCCGGTTGGATACCCTTCGCTCCGGTGGGGGGGGGGGGGGATCAATTTGACCGCCTCCCAAGATCTCAGGAACTAAGAGAGCTAGAGACACCAAATTTACGGGGTGTATTGGCCCGTACGTGTATTGGCCCGTACGTGAATTCACTAAGGTAGAAGTTTCAGGTTCCTAGGTCATGACGTTCGGGTCAAATAAGGTCGAACAAGGTCAAACTGAAGGCTGGTCTCCAGAGAGCCCCCAAAACTAGATACCTGTTCTAAGCAAAAGGTAGCATGCTCATTTAAGGTCGGTGACACTGTTTGACCTTTTTGAAGATCGTGATGACCAAACTCATACAAGACTGCTTTGACTTTTGTGTTTGAATAGGCGACGAAGATAGCGCTTAGTGTAGTTCCTAAAATTTAATGTTTACCTGGGTCATTTCAGGTCAGTGCCCTAGCCCAAGCTTAACGAAGTCCATGGAAGATGCATAATGCAGTTCCTGTTATTAATAAATTTGAAATGAGCACCGGAAACTATCCCATGCACCAAGCCCTGGAGAAATAAAGCAGGTTGGTTTTGACTTTGGTATGACTTTCATACTTGACCCTAGGTTAATGAAATTTGTTTATTCAATTTTTGTGTTGCCTAAGAAAGTATCTCCGACATGCATGGCTTTGTCTAACACTCCATTGCTGCATCAGTTTGAACGATTCCCTAGAAATTAACTTTGCTGAATTCGTAGCCTGACCTTGACCTGCCGTAGGTCAGGGACCTTACAGGGCACATCTAGATGTATGATGTCAAACGATCCGCTGCTCAATTGTCTACCGCTATGGAAGTTCGGCGCGGCCGTGCAGCGCCGTTCTGAAACTATTCCGGAAAACCTTCGTGGGGGGGGGGGTCAAACTGAAACCACCCGAGCGTGTGTTAACATGATCAGCAGCTGGGGCGGGGCGGAAACGCACGGCGTAGGAGAGTACCGGACAGATGACAGCAGGATGGGACGGGACCAGAAATAATGGCACAAGGCATGGGAGCAAATGATAGCAGGGGGCAGGAGACGACAGAAAGACAGGGCTGAGGGCAGGGCTGAGGGCTTAGATGGGTGGGGCTGGATGAGTTAAGGAGGAGTTTGTCGCATGAGATAAATTCTAGGTACACACCACAGGTTCTAGAGATTTTAAACAAATCAGGATTGAGACAACAGAGCGGAGGACAGAACACCACAGCACAGCACAGCACATAATGTGGCAGAGCCAAGCGGAATTATTCAAAACAAAACAAGGTTTACCTGAAAGACCATTTCAAAAGATGCTTCCTTCAGTCCTAACGCAATTGCACGCAAGGAACTGTCTGCTGCACGTCTTGCATGCCTTTGCTTGGCTTAACGAAGTTTGCGTACCATGCCATCCGAGCTACTGCTCATTTTGAGGTGAATGCAGTGCATACATGGCGCGCGGTGCCGCCGCGGGCCACATATATCCGCCGAGGGCCACACGCTCTTTTCGATGTGCAAGTACGGTTTTTCTTTGATAGGTTTGACCCGGGTGCTCGTTCCGGACATGCGCATCACGACGAACAATAGCCCTTTAAAAACACCGACCCTGTCAGCTGTCCGGGGGGCATCGACACGGACGCCGGAATGGGAGACCATCACCGCGTGGTGGTTTCCCATTACCTGGCCTGGCACGTCGGCGGCCGGGCCCTCGGCGCCCACACCTCCGCAAAATGTGAGTCCGGCGGAGGTGCAGGCACCGAGGCTTCGGCGATCCTCTGAGATCCTCGATCCTTTCTCCTTCTTTTGAAACAATTAAGAAGGCGCGTTCTGTAGATATTTTTGCGATTACGCGCTAGCACATTAATTCTGATCTGTCAGCTGTCGTGCATTCGTTTTGTGCTTACGTCGCATCACAGTAATTACCATATCTAATGTGCAAATCTGCCGCTTATGTGTGTTGTTATACCTTGCCTGGTATTTCTCTATGCGTTTCAATGAACAGTCTAGGAAAATAGCAGGTCAGTGAATAACGTGCAGCCTGAACTTTGCGTCATGAGAGAGGACGCGTCGTGGTCAGGTCCATGCGTTTGGCATTAATGTGTCCATCTCGCGTAGTTCAGATATTACACACAGCTTGGAGCGACTGCGAATCTTCCACGACTGCAATCGAAGGATGTTTGTCACGACTGGCAAAATATCTCACAGATGTTTTACGTAGTGACCCCTCGCGGGGAGCGATGAAGAAGCCGCGATGCCCGCCCTTTCCGCCAGAGCGAGAGGCAGGCGACGCCATATAGCCTCAGTAGCTGAGTGCGTCGTAAGGCCTCAATATACCGTTGATAGATTTGCGACTCGCGGAACGCGGGACTCGGTTTTCAACTGTTTTCAACTTGCGACTTCTTGCGACTCCCAAAAGGTGGAAGCCGGAGAACGGCCTTGGGCTGGCGGAAAGGTTGGTTGACTTTTTCCGTCGGTGGATTTACATGCGGCCATATAAGGGGTTTGCTAAGATGACTATAAGTGACTGACCCATAGCAGCGGCGGTGAAATCGGTCACTGAGGGACCGTTGCTTCATTACGGCGACTCCAGAAGGCGAGGCTCGCACACAGTCCGATGAGGGACTCCGACGACGAGACATCCTTATGCCCGTGTTGTTTACTAACATGATGCGGGATTCAGGCTCAACTTGTGTCAGACCAGGACATAGCTCTAACCTAGTCACAGATCAGGACCAGCGAGAACCAAACCAGAAACGCGAACTTCATCAGACTTGCGAGTAACGCGACAAGATTTGCTCACTGTGCCCAGCACCCTTGCGACCGTTTGACAATTAATACGGGCTCGAAAGACGACACCACGCGGGCGGCGCGCGCGCGGCGGCATTTGTCGATGTGTGCGAGCGTCCTGGCGCGTGAGTTCAGTATTCCGCGCGCAGGCGAGAAACCTTCTAGTCCTCGTGGCACCTCAATCTCCCAAGAGGTGGTCGTGGCAGAGCTGAAAGCGTTTGCTGAGCCAAGTATCGTTATCTGCTCGTGTTTTGGCCCTTTCTCGTGGTGTTCTTCAGTATTCGTCCGTAAGTTTCAGATGTTTATTTGTATCCACATCCTCAGCTACGGCGTTATTGTTAAGTTATTCGACTACAAGTCTAACTTCCGTAATAACTTGCAAGTATGTCCGAACTCCTTAAATTATGTAGTACAAAACGCGATTCGTGATTGAAACATGCACAGGCTGTTCAACAGTGGCCGCGAGCCAGTGAGGTTCATGTCTGGGAGTCGCGCTCATAAACGCCAGATCCAAATGACTCCCCGATTACATTACTTTTTAGTATTGAACGCCACATGGCTTGTGACGTGGCAGGATTTGAATGACGTTACCATGAGGACATGCATACACGCATGGCCTTGAAATAGTTGCACGAAATAGTCTGCACGTATCCGCGGGCGCATGCCTAAACTAGTGGTTTTAGGTCTGAAGAAGGGCAGGGCTGTAAACTGCACCGACTCATCTTCAGAATGACTTTCAGGTCAAAACTTCATACAACTGAAGAACACTTGACTTTAACTCGCGTCACCAAATTCTGCCGTTGACCTGGAATTGCATGATCGGACAGCGGGGCCAGGGCTCACACAATACGTACAGCATAGAATGGGCCGATTCCAGGAATCCATCCATAAAAAAATAATAACGTTCTGTCATCAAAGTCACTACTTTAAAAGCTTCGAAGTCCACGCCCGCGAGGCCACTGGTCATTCAATGGTCAGAACCGCGAGGCCACTCGTTTCATATATTGCCATGTGTCGCAATGCATTCTCATGTATCTCAATGCATTCTCACGTATCTCAATGTATTCTCACGTATCTCAATGTATTCTCAGGTATGGCGCAGACGAGCGCGCGTGCCATCCAGCCGCACGCGCCATTCTTCAGCCAGCCCGCACCCTGTCGTCGCACGTGGCGCCCAGCAGTCCCGCCCGCCGGCCGCGTGCCAGGCGCGGCGCCACCGACGCGGCGCTGGACACGCGGTGGGTCCGCCGCGGCTCAGACGGCCGCCGCCGCCGGCTCCGCCTCTGTCTGCCCGCCGGGTGCCAGAGCGCCAGCCGTGTTCTAGGGGACAGAGGCGGCACGTGAGGCAGGACGCGGCGTAGCACGTTTGGAATTCTGGGCTTCGATAGTGAACCCCGTACATTATCTGGATATTGCTGAAGTGTTTTGGTGATGCTACAGTGAACGGCGGAATTAAAGAGCGTGGGGCAGCTCTTAATTCCTAAGTGTGGAAGTTTCGTACATGCGGGCAACAAACACCACAAAACAACATAAATTGAATTATTTCAACGAGTACAGCGTATAACACTGTATATGTGTATATATGTATATTAACATATATACTGTATATATGTATGTAACACTGCATATATGTATGCATATAACAACCCGGAAGAATTCGTCACTAATTGCACAATAAGTGTTGAACAAATAAAAATGACAAGAAGGCGCGCACGCGGCCTCGTCTCCCGCCGCGTGCAAAAATCGCTGCAAAAGCTCACCAATCCAGACCACCTCTAAGTCTGCAGCCTCTATGGAGACAGCAACGACAAAGACCACAGAAAAAAGACGACGAACACTGGGGACAGAAAACACACATCAGCTCGGTCATCGCCTCCACGGCGTCCGCGAACTCACCAGTTGCCGCGCCCTCTCCTCCAGCAGGCCGAAGGCGAAGTGGTTCAGCAAGAGGCCGTTTGGCAGCGCCACGCCTTGGAACCTGCGCCGGGGGAAGAAGACGTCGACATCAGACCAACAGGACACGCCACGGGGGCGGTCAAGTCGTCACAAGCTCCACAGCGCACAACGCGACGGGCAAGTGACTGATGCGCTCCAAATTGTGAAGGTATCTCTTTTCAAAGAGAATGCATTGCAATTGATTGGAAGCTATGGTAAGATGCGTCAGTGTGCAGCTATTTTACAAACCGAGAAGTGGCCAATCCAATCCAGATTGTTCAGTCCAATAAGCGCAGAGCAGTTGTAACACAAGTAGCCGACCCAGGCGTCTGGCAACCGGCACACCTGCTGACACTGAGTGACCTGCACGTCGCCCTTTACCGACACGCACGACATCCCCGCTGACGCCAAATGGCCCGCGCATCATTCCGGACTGACCTCTAGGCCAACCCTGCTGACCCTGGATGGCCTGCGCATCACTTCCGACTGACCTTTACGCCACCCCTAATAATCATGAATGACCGCTGACTGACCCACACACGGTCCCTGACCCCGACTGACCTGTAGAGCGGACCGCATTCGGCCTGGACGCGGTGCACGGCACAGATGGAACAGCGCCCCAACAAGCCCGTATGCGCCATGGCTGGCCCTCGGCTCAGGTCCACGTGGTCGCCGCACCGGTACACCGTCACCCGGTTCCCTGGCGGCGGGGCGGCTGGTTGACGTTCGGCAGCGGCAGGCGCGGGCGGGCTACGGGTGTACTGGCCGGCGGGTTACGGGGAGGCGCACTGGGACCGCCTGGGGCGGCCGCACTCGAGGTCGGACCAGTGTGCGCTGCTGCTGACTGGTGGGGGAGTGGAGTTGGGTGTGGGCGTCGATGACGGATACCCACAACGCCAGGGTCCGCGCTGTCGACGAGCGCCGTCCGGGTGACGTGTTGGGCTGAGATGGGCCTAGAGATACCACCAATTCAGGTTCCACACTCTCGGCGATCGATATGACTTTCACCACGGAGGCACAATCTACAAAATAAAATAACTCAATGCAGGGTCAGGAGCAGGTACACCGTGATGTGCGGTTCTTGAGTACCTAACTTATTTCGGGCAATTTTAGGAATTACATTACAACGTGAGAAGTCTTTCTTTAAATTAAATATACGTCAATTTGGGAATGAGCGGCAGGTTTGCACTAAGATGCAAATGTTGGCGTAAGATTTCCCCCAAAGCGTTTTGCAAATAGAAAAGTCCGGAAATTTAACTCTACTGACAGCAGTTAGCACCGCAAACAAAAAATAAGCCCACGCAGCAACCGGACAAAAGGGCTTTCCTAATCGACGCGACTGGAACAATCAAGGAATATTCACCAAGCTCCGAGAATCTCACAATTAGAGAGAACTGACAATACTGGTTGCTGCACAGTCAGGGAGTCATCAACCGCCTGGGCACACCTGCTTCAGACTCATACTCGACTCCGCTCCAGCAGAATCGGTCCGACCGACCCGGGCTCGCAGCACGCGGAGCGCTTACGACTCAGACTCCGAGCAGCACAACTCGATTTGGAGTTGACTCGATTCCGACCCCAAGGGCATATGGTTTGGTCACGGAATCGACTCCGACTGGGTGGATTCCGGCGATAGTGGTTCCGAATGCATAGATGTACGCGGGTTCAGGACCACCGGTATTGAACAGCTGTTTCCGTAATAAGAAGGGAAACAAGTGCAGCAACAAAACGGCAAAACATTCAATGCCTCTTCCTGCGCTTATGGCATCCAAATGAATCACTGCACGTATCGTTATCTATGTTTCCATTCGAGTACAGACATCGGTGATTCAAACCTGTACGTGTAGTTCAAATTGGACTCCACGTGACGTGGACGTTCAAAGAAATCGATTAACCCTTGGCTTACTAAAAGTCTAGATGACGCAGGAGCCCACCTCGACCGCACGCGGAAACAAGCACCAGAATGCCGGGCACCTCGCGCCCACCGAAGTCGGACAGTTGCTGTACGCTAGGCACCCATTCACAAACACAACTCACCCGCCTCACACCGCAGCACAACTTATCCGTCTCGAACCGCAACAAGACTCATCCGCCTCGCACCGCAGCACAACTCACCCGCCTCGCGCCGCAGCACAACTCACCCGCCTCATACCGCAGCACAACTCACCCGCCTTGCACCGCGACACAACTCATCCGCCTCACACCGCAACACAACTCACCCGCCTCGAACCGCAGCACAACTCACCCGCCTCGCACCGCGGCACAACTCACCCGCCCCACACCGCGGCACAACTCACCCGCCTCACACCGCGGCACAACTCACTCGCCTCGAACTGCAGCACAGCTCACCCACCTCGCACCGCGGCACAACTCACCCGCCTCACAACGTACCACAACTTATCCGCCTCGCGCCGCAGCACAACTCACCCGCCTCGCACCGCGACACAACTCACCAGTCTCTGACTGCTCGGCCATGCTGGGCACCTGGCGGCGCTTGTGCTCGTTATCGGCGAACATCTGCAGCGCCAGCTCCGCCGACACGTCGAGCCGCCGGAGCGGCAGCGCCAGCTGGCCCAGCCGGCGCATCATGCCGGCCAGCACGCGCAGCTCGCCGCCGCTGGGCGTCCATGCGTCCAGCGGCAGCTGCACGTCGTACACGAAACTGCCGCTGCGCACTGCAGGGGCGTGCGGTGGCCGGTCAGCTGGGCGGCGGGACGGGGTGGCCTGGCTGAGGGCGGGGTGTGTATCCGTGCCAGATTGGCAGTCATTTACAGTCAGCTAAGGGAATAATGATAGGGGTGACGGCGGAGGGAAGATCGCCTCTAATTACGATTGAAGTTACCTTATCGCCAAGAAGCTAATGGGTTGTGCGAAAAGATGTAACGTGGAAAATGGATGCAATGTTCCGCGGTCACTTGCAGCCGCGCCCCTCCCCCCCCCCCCCCTACCACTTATATGTCCAAGTCGTGTCGGTATTAGTATGCAAAGGGTTGAATGCTGACAGATAACAAATTGCTGTGCGTGCGCCGTAAATCGCAGTCTAGTACAAAATAACTAGATTGAGAACATGCCACGCTGTCATACGCCCCGCAAAACATTGCGCGCCTCGTGAAAATTTGTGCTGTCCCCTCCCTCTACAATTGAGAGGGCCTGCATGCGCCCTCGGAACCCGGTGTGATAAGACGATGGAGTGAGCGCGTCAGCATTTGAACAACGCATTGCCACTCGAAAACCCGCTCACGCTCGTTATCGAGCTAGTCTGTACACAAAAAGCCAACACCAAGTGTGGCACGGAGCTCTACGTGGTAGGCGCGCCCGTGCGCCGCACGCACCATTGGGGCTGGGGAAGCTGTGCAGCTGCACGTAGTGTTCGTCTTTGAATGCCTCCTCGATGACTGCGCCGAGCATCAGCGAACAGCTGCGCCAGAAGGCTTTGTTCGCCTGAAACGACGACCAGCCGGCTCGAGTTCGCACCTCATGCGGGTGAACGTCACACGGAGTACACGTCAGTCTAGTAGAGTGATAGGTGTGTCACTTTGTGGGCCTTGTTGTACTTCGGTATGTGAGGATCCCACTGGGATGCTGTTTACGTCTCTTGGTCACGCAGTGAAGCCACGAATACGTGTAAGTGTACGTCTTAAACGCGCCGTGCACACCCGCACATAACTCAGTCAGGAATAAGACGAGCCTATGATCTCATCTGTTGTGGAACGTACGCTTGTACAGCGCAACTACAAAGTTCGTACGTCGGTAGTTGACTTTGATGGAACTACGACGACGCCAACACCAGCTGCCTGAACGAATTTTTAAAAAATCGATGCAAGAAAGGATATTGCAGAAACAAAATCAAACGAAAAAGACGAAAGAAAACAGAAAGAGCAAAACGAAGGGACGACTGGAGGGCCGAGTAGAGGAGTAGGTGTTCAGGCGGCTATCAATACTAACCCGGGCCTCACGAGTATCCATGCGACTACGCTTGTTCCAAAACATCTACCGGCATTGCGAACCCTATTTCTATACAAAGTCGAGAGGGGTTGCAAATTTCGGGGGACGGCTATGCCTGGGGCAGCACCTTGAGCTGTGAAAAACTTCGTCGTTAGTTTCAGACGCCTGGCCATTCAGAGCTGTGGCTTTTCTCTCCACACCTCACCTCGGTCAAAACACATCCCACAGTTCACAAACAGGTGCGGTCAAGGCCGAATCCGGTTGTCGTGGTCGGGCTGGGCTTCCGTGTGAGCTCCCTGTCGTAAGATTACGTCGCGCATTTGGATTCATTTTACAACCCCTTCCTCCTGCCTCCGCGCCGGTTAAGCTGGGCCTGAATTCCTGCCTCCCGGTTGCGTTGTGATGAGCGTAATGTCCCGAAAAGATAACGCCTGCTTGGCATGTAATCGAACTAGAGGTGAAACAAAAAAAAACAAACAAAAAACGGGCGGGTTCCCTGCCATACGAGGAAGCCCATGGCATCATGGGACTCGAAGGTGTGCACGAGCGCCATACCGAAGTGACTTCAAATGCGTTCGTAGTTTGAAAAGGACACATCAGCCGTCGTCGGAACGGTATCATGGGACGAAGTGGAGATGCTACGGGGGGGGGGGGGGCGTCGGTATTGGAATAGGAGAATTAACTTATTATGCACCGAAGTGACCGTAAATTTGCAGCTTTTCAAAGAAACGTAAACGATTTTCACCCTCAGCGTAAAATGCATACATGAATGCCGTGTTTCTGGGCCGACAGCAACACCATGTAAAAAGGAAGGCGGCTGCATCTTGGGACTAGCTGACCAAAACAAAAAAAAATAAACTCTGCGTGATCTGTTACCCTTGCGCACACCTTTCGTGAGGTCCTCGTGTGTTACGCGTCAATGGACGACGTTGGGTGGTGACCATATCTCTCCCTCTCCCATGCCGGAGGGCTACGGTAGAATATCTCGTCCGTGTCGGCGGGCCACGGCCAGATGTGAGGAGCAACTCTCCCGTCAGTCACGGCGGGCCACAGCCAGATATGAGGAGCAACTCTCCCGTCAGTCACGGCGGACCACAGCCAGGTGTGAGGAGCAACTCTCCCGTCAGTCACGGCGGGCCACAGCCAGATATGAGGAGCAACTCTCCCGTCAGTCACGGCGGGCCGCAGCCAGATATGAGGAGCAACTCTCCCGTCAGTCACGGCGGACCGCACTGGTAGGGTCACGAGCTCTAATCTACGCAGGACTGGCTACCGAGCAGCTGGCTGAAAACGTCACAAAGCCACATCCCCAGCAGCCTGCACCGCCACAGTCTCCTGGCGCCGTCACACAACGTCGCATTCTGTGCCAGTGATGCATGGTACCTGAAACTCATCACGGACCAATAAAATCCAAAGCATAAGGAACACGGACCGCACGAACCGACTTCATCTAAAAGATCATATTTCGCCTACACAAGCGCGTGAAAGAAGCCCACCCAAGGGCAAAACTCACATGGAAGGGGTTGGCTTCGGTGAAGTAGAGGTACTTGAGCGTGCACGACTCGGCGGTGATGGGTCGATGCATATCCCAGAGCTCACCATTGACCTCAGCCAGCGCCGCGCGTCCCACCACCTCATCAGACAGGTCTGAAACACGGCGCATGGCGACTGTCAGGACAACGCCACACGCAAGGCCGGTGGAATAATTCCTGCCCTTCCAGGGCGATTTATGTCTCGGCCAAGTGCTCTCGGTCGTCACTTTTGCTCCTGAAAAGGTGTATGATTACACCATTCAGCGTCTGTACTTTAAGACAGCAAACAAAAATGCTGACTTAACAAGGCCAGGCACAACTGAAATCTCGTTAAATATGGCGCATCGCATTTGCACGCAGCACAGCCCCTGCAGAGTCCACGGGGGTGTGCTGCAACAAGCGGAGCTCTCAGGTTCCACGGCGCGTCTGCACTACGTCAGTGTTACGCCGGTGGCAACATGACGGAGGCGCGGTCAAGCCCGAGCGCCCGCCGGCGCGGCCCCGCCGCCCGCGCCCTGCGGCACGTTCACTCACGGCGCGCGCAGTCGTGTGGCGTGGAGATGCCCCTGTTCATCATCAGCGTGCAGGGCTCGAGCGGGCCGCCCTCGTAGCGCACCTCGACCTTCTCGAGGCGGCCGACCAACGAGCGTTGGCGCCGCTCCTCCTCGTCGAACAGCGCCGCGCGCCGCCGGCTCACAGAAGCGTTGGTCAGCTGCGAGAGGAGCCCTGCGTGCGCGAGGGGTGGTCACGCACTGTTCGGCAGCGAGGTGCTGAGGTGTACATGAGGCACGCTACGGAGATGGTCGAGAGGGCTTGTGAATAGCTACAGAACCTGTTCCTTGGTGCACCAAAAGAAGTGGCAAATCATGTTGACATGGCTACTTGTACCAAAACAGGTGACATAAAGACAATGGAGTAATGTCAGCTTACCCCAGATGAATTTTAAAATGTTGCACCAAGCACTTGCTAAGGTGGCACCCCAATTAGAGCCCGTGCTGAGCGTGCTCTTAGGCTAATACACTAGCTTTGTGAATCCAGGGGTCCAAACTGTAGAATAACTGAAGTGTGACTGTTAGTCAAATTAAGTTTAAGTTTGTCCAGCACACTATGTAAAAGCTTCCTGCCATGAGAGTTTTCTCAAACAGAGGAAAGCTTTCAAGAAAGACTAGGCTGTAGTGAACTGTAAATGCCACTCACTGCTTGAGAGTCTAGCAATGCACTCATTTGAGACCACTGGGATGATTATGGTTGAGTGAAATGATTGAAGGACAAAAGCATGCACTGAGAGCAATGGTATAAGCTTGTCTAATTCTCATAAGTTAGGATATATTTATCATGCCTTCCAAATTTGGCTTGAAAGCCTCAAATCAAGGATACTAAACCATCATCTTCAAACAACATATAAATGCAATATACACAAACTTGGGTATATATACAACATGTATATATATATATATATATATATATATATATATATATATATATATATATATCAGTTCTCAACTATATCAGTGATAGTTGCACATATTTTGTAAAACATGTCACATTTTGTAGTCAGGCATGCAAGTAGTACTTACTTCTTTTATGTGGCAGCACTGACATTGCTGTTTTGATGTGTATACTTAACACCATGGCAAAACTTAATTTTCACAGAATCTATACAATAACTCTTGAAAAACTCATGAGCACAGAATGCCCTGAAGCACAATGTCCAGTTGTACCTGTCACCTGCAAATGAGAGATGATTAAAACTAACAGTTCTAGGACCATATTTATTTAGAAGAGCATGCGCACAATTTATCGCAAAAGGTTTATTCCTTTAAAATACATTTCATTTTTTAACCAACAAGTATCAAAACAAAGACAGCATGATGACAAAACCCCTCACATGTGAGACAACTGCATTACTTTCAAAAAGTGTTGATTAACAGAAAAAGGATTCAAAAAATATCTTGAATGGAGGTCAAGAGGATGAAAAGGATCTCCAGTCCTCTCACTTCCACTAGGTACTTAGGAGATAATAGGACTTTGCTGTTCCAGCCTGAAAAGAATCCTCTCAGTATTAGTCACTGTGGTTATTAGAATCATTGGACATATAAGCAAAGACAGGTAATATGACATGGTTATTTCCATTTTCTTTGGATCTTTATGCACATACAGACACAACTAACCAAATTTAAGTAGCCAAGCCAAGCAAACATAGCATTTGGGACTATCCTATATTGGCTAACTGATCACACAAGATTCTCCCAAACTCTAGTGTTAGAAGTGACTTACATAAGCCCAACACATTCATATTATGGTGTCACATACCCATATACATGCATATGTATATATACATATATACCTATACAAAACAAAAGATAAATATAAAAGGAGGCCAAATTTGTACCACACTTAAATTCTACACTTTTCATTACCATATATTTCTAACACTACTTGATCTTTTACTAAAAGGCATACTTTTACTGGCACAAACATTGAGACATCTAGTATCTTGTATTTACAACTATGAAATCACATGTTCTTTGCTGCATGATACCACAAAAAAAACATTTATCAAATAGGCATCATCACAAAATACCATGTCTCTGTTGAAATGTGACAACAAAGGACCATGAAAATGTTCTGGTAAATTACAAGACCAAACCAGCCAACAAAAGTAGGGAACTGGACAGACTTATTGGTAGAAACACCTGCATCTCAGATGTTTTGCTGTCAGATGCTGCACAGTCAGTGTGGCACATGTTAAAATAAAATACACTTGTAGAAGCAGTAGGAGGCTGGTTGCCACAACCTGTGTACAATTGGCATGCAGCTTACAAATGTGTTACAAGGCACGTTCAGTGTTAGCCCAATGTCATTGATACCAGAAACCAGCAAAGCTTCAGGATAAAATCTAACAAATCCAAAGCGCTCTGGACACCTAATTAATGTTATTACTAACAAGATGAATATGAACCAATTGAAAGCCGCAATGTGAGCAAGCGTACCGTCGGTAAGTCGCAAACTTGGCTGGATATGGAACTTGTCACCACCACAAATGCCCCATGTGCGTCGCAAAAAGATGAAATTATCCATGCTCTTGGCTTATGTTGGAAAAAAGAAAAATTGACACTCATTTGAAAAACGATGACAAGAATCGGTGTTTCACCTTTTATTCATATTTTATTATGTATTTGTCTTGAGTTGATTTCATCAATGTACAAAACATGGACAAAATATTAGCAGCTTATTACTGGTAACTATGGCAACCGTGGGCGGGTTCGTTCTAGATTTAGATGCGTGAGTTGGGTTCTCGTATTGTGCAAGTTTTTGGCTATATTTGTGTTATTTTAGCCATGTTTAGACTTTAAAGAGTTGCGCAACCATTAAGCAGCCATCTCAGTTTTGATGTAAACCATTGTGCCTACAGTCAATCTCTTACATCTGTGTTGTTGCAGGTCATACTTATGCGGCCATGGGAATGCGCGTAGCGACGCATTGAAAGGTCAGCTGCCCGCATGTAAGTACCTACTTGTTGCAGTCTCGTCGCGAGGAATCATGTGAATAGCAATGATGAAATTAAATGACGTGCTTTTGACCTTATGTCGCACCTTTCCTGTTTCTGTCGCAGACGCTTTCATAAGAATTTGGGGACATTTATCGCGTATGCGTTGGGGATGGCATGCTTAGACATTTTTCCTTGTCTAACCCCAACTTATTTTGCCAAATTACACCACTACTATGTACGAACATTTTTTAGATGCTGCGCAAATACAAGTAAGCGACAGGTTCATATTCAGATCGATGCTCTCCACATTTGTTACGGGCCTGGTGGTAGGTCATGCCAGTCTCAACATTTGCGTCTTGTGCGCGTTGTGTTTAGGACGTTAATGCCTTTCACTACACAAGGTTTTGCGAATATCAAAGGATTCTGCCTTCAATTATATGGCCTAAAGATTTAAAACCGTTACCGGTGGCGTAGCCAACTGCGATGCAGGGGCGCATTATTGTGACCCGGCGGCACGTCAAGTCGTGACGCAAGCTGTTCGTTTTCATCGCTTGTTAAGTTGCCCATGAATTGGACTCCCTGGTTTTCATATTTAATGTCCAACAAAATTAATACCTGGATTTTCTTAGGAATAATGGCGTCAGGGACAGAACGCTAGAATTGTGTCTCCGTTGAACCACGGCTACGTACGTTCAATAGGTGGCGCTGCTGCATACCGAGTGCGACCGAGTCCGGAACCGGTGCCCAGTGTAATTCGGTCGAAGCATAACGGGGGCAGTTTTTAGGAAGATGCATATACCATCGTTGTTCTAATACCGGATAATGATTTTCAAGACCGTTTGTTCAGATTTATGTCAGTCACAGCTCGAAAGCTTGCATCTGCTGACTTGTGACCGCCCCTCGTTGCACTGAGGCAGCGCGGATACCAGCTGGGGTACATAGCGCCGAACCCGCACCCTGGAGCAGACACGATGTGTGCATCTCTGAGCAGTCTGATTTTGAGTGCGCGGACTGAAGTGGATATGATATTGCATAGAAGGCGTTATCTAAATGCGGCACGTTACATTCTAAGCTGAGTAATCGTTGTCACATCCAGCTCACAGCGGCTTGCGTCATCGGTGGCGCAGGCAGCTGCCAGGGAAGATAATATGGCGACAATAGCTGACGTTTCGCTCGTTAATTCTTTGTATTGTTTTTGCGTTCATACTTGTGTTCTCGTTCAGTACGTGGCTCAATATGTGGCAATACAGTTCGCTCGTTTTCGGTCTGAAATTATGTGGTCGTGAAGTATTGCACTTAGGTGAAAAATTTATTTGTGTTTGTCAGGATGTGGAGGGAATTTATTCTAAAAATGGCAACATAGTTAAAATCAACAAATTCTGCTTATCTCTTGCACTAATTTCGCGGACTTTAATCTTCAAGACAAGGGAACACTTGAAGCCGAATGTGTGACACGCTGCCTTCTGCTGTGTTGAAACACTTGCAAATGTCATTTTTGCTTGATCTTACATCCTCAAGTTTTCACCGTAAACGGCATGCAAGCTGAAGAACGGTATTCACTGGTCTCCTATAAACACTGTACGGCGGAATAATCACAGGTTCCTATTGTTTAAGCCTGTCCATGTAGATTTAGCTTTTCTAGCCTTTTCATCGATATGGGTCACCGTAGCCTCCCGACTTAGCCGTCATGTTTCGTGCAGCACCTCGTGTCGTACCGTGTATCGGGTGTTACGATGTGAGAGCTCGAATTAATTGTTATTTGGATAGCTTTGTAGTGGCAATGTCTGCACAGGTTCGGAGCATTTTCTGGATCTACTTGTTTTGGTTTTCAGACGTAATGTTTTGTTAAGCTTTGTTAAGTCGTGGTTCAATCGTGGTATTGAAAAGTCGAACATTGTCAATAGACTCAGTGCTTTCCTGATACCGTCATTTAAACAGTACCTCCTGTTATAGTGGAAGGCTGTTTTTTGTCAAAATAAGATATTCCAACTCACAATGCCGAAAAATTAGAAGCTCATGGCCTTTCTTGCTCATATCAAGTGCACGGATATATAATTTAAGACCAGGCACGTCAAATTTTTGTGGAGGGCTGGGGCACATGTAAAATTTTGTCCCAGCTCTTGTCAATTTGTGTATACCCTTTTCTGACAAATCACCAGGCATCTGGTGCAAACCTCCTATTGGTTCGGGGCATGACGCCCCGTCCCCCTCCTTTGGCTACGTCTCTGTTTAAAACGGGCTCATTCTATTTCAGCAAAAGTGTAACAACGAAAGCTGACGGAGCAGTAACGGAATTTCGATCTGAAGTTGAATCTGAATTGTTTGCCAGCCCAGTTTGTCACTTGACGAACGGCCAAAACGGACTGTGGCTACTGAAGCGGGAGGTTCGTGGCAGTTCGGAATCTGAATATTATGCTGGATACTAATTGGATATTATAAAATGTCATGCTGATTCGAATGTTTGCACCGAAACCTCAGAATTGGATTGGTGTGCAGTTTCCACTTTTCAGACGACGTCATTGGTTTCAAGCTGACTGCTCTGTGCTTCGGTCAGTGGTACATTTCGCACTTGGTCAAAAGAATGGACTGAGGCGTTGGTTCCAATCTGTACTGGTGTCGGAAGTTTTGCACTTTGATGAGGATGTGGAAAGTATATGGGAAGGTGGGCTACGCCATCGCCGTTCCAACGCCACAACCATAAGCCTCAGTGTGTCTGTTTCGTCCCATATTGGCGATATAGAGTGTATCCTGGATCAGAATTTCTTGTGATCATTTGCATTGTGTGGTGGATGCCGCGTCACGTAGGTTAGAGGTTTGGCGGGAGACGCTGCGGCCCGTTCGGAGGACGCATCCTCGCTCCCATCGTAGGACCGCACGGCTCCAGCCCGCTGAGAACCGACGTTCTCGTGGACTCCGCAGTGCCCCGTGTCTGCTGTGTCGTGCGGCAAGACTGGTCGCCGCTGGCACGCCCTGAGGGCGCTCTAAGGGGTTTCCGCGATGATGGCCTTCATGACTCGATACTGTTTTGTATAATTCGAATCCCGACTTTAGGGATTCGGATTATCGAATCCCTAAAGACAAATCCCTAAAGGGAAAGCGAGGGTTTAATTCCTTGTTTGCAGGATTCTTGGATTCAAAAGGTTCGAATCTATTCCAATTCTTTCGAGTGATGCGAATCCGAATCCTCAGCTCTGGAGGTTATCCACCGGGCTTGCACGCCGTTCCGTACGGAGGCTAACTAAATGGAGGTTGGCGGCTAACTAAAGCTACTACAGATCAGCAATCGGTTTTGTAGGATTCGAAGAAATTCGAGCCTTACGAATCCTGGTACCCTAAATGTAAGGATGTCAGCCATAAAGATCAGGATTTAGATTCTGACAAGCCCATATAATCCGGAAAGCCATGATTTAAATTGCAGCATTATGTGTTAACGTTCTTACAGAGCAACTAAACGTAGCATGTAAAGATCGGAGCTGCACCGGACTGAGTGACCCGTCCTCGTTTTTAGTTCAACGTTTTAGTTCGATATTTCAATCAAATATAGTCTATTCAGATGTTTGGCAGTCTCTAGTTCGGTTCCGAACCCGAATCCTCTGCCCTAGGCTTCAAACCCTAAAATGTTGTGAATCTTTAGCTTCATATGACCCGCTTCAAAATCCATGTGATTTTGAAGTTAAACGGCTGAGTCGTGACGGCTTTATCGGTTACATGTAAGTTATTTGCCATCCTGATGCATATTGTAAGTACCCATCCTAAGTATTAAGCTGGCTAAAATTTCGTATTTTGACCTGAAGGGACATGAGCTGTGCGTAAGCTTTCTCATGTTCAAGGCCATTGATTTAATCTCCAGTTATCACCAAACAAAACTTACTTTTACACCCAATGCACTAAGAGAACTAGCCAGAGGCTCATTGACCCGCTCCCTCACTTCAGGTAAAGCGTTTTGCGAAGTCCGGAGAAACCGTCCAGAGACTGCGCCATGCCGGGACCAGAAATTCGCCAAGGCTGTCGCGATGTCACGGCTCGCACAATCTGCCTTGGACCGGAGAAGTCAACGTACAAGGTTTTCAGAAAGCCCCAGGACAAAAAGGAGAAGAAGCCCAGAGAAATGCCGAAAAGAATGGTAAGGAAACGACTTACTGACCCCGGCAACTGCTGCCAATCACAGTCATCCATTGAATACTGTGCAAAGTATATATATATATATATATATATATATATATATATATATGTATGTATGTATGTATGTATGTATGTATGTATGTATGTATACAAGGTCCTTTCATAGCATAGTAACTGTAGCATCAGTAGCGTCATATGAGAATAAACACGGGGACAGACGCCTTTTGATTCAACGGAATGTACTTAACACCCGTTCTGCGCTGTTTGCTGCCAAAATAAGTTTAAAAGATGTTTGTGTATTGCTATTTTGGCTCATCCATGCACACACATGTAGTTGATATCATCATCAGCATACGGTTTTTGCAGCTGGTTACAAGTGACTTGATCCGGAAGATTCGTGTCCCCTACGAGAGAGATCCACAGACAGTCACAATCAACCAAGGGAAGTTCCAGAAGATCAGCAGTTCCGCTAAGGTAACGGCACTCTGATCCAGTGTGCTGTGTGCATCACGTATTCTATACATGGACTTATTCGGCACGTCCGCGCGCGCAGAGGCAAAACCACACATGCCACGTTTTCGTGGAACGTGACGCACGTGGTTTCGCCCGTTTACACGTTTTCTCGCAGCAAGGTTAATGTGGTTTCGTTTTCGTACGGACTTATATACAAAACACATCTGTCTACCATGAAACGACGCAAGCGCCTCAAGTGGCACTACGTGGCAGCACGCCTCTGGCGTCTTTTTCTCGCCTGCGATCGCCTTCCAAGCAGTGAGACAGCTGTGGGCATGCGCTGGACGGTAGTGACTGTGTCCGGCAGGTGCTCTCCAAGCAGGAGGTGGAGGCGGCCGAGCGGCGGCGCGAGGAGCAGAAGGACCGCCTCGCGGCCGAGGCGCTGGCCCGCCGCCAGGCGCTCGAGGCCGCGGACATCGTCCGTGAGTCCAAGGAAGCTGAAGCTGTAGACGAATTGAAGGAGGAAGCCAGAAAACGCGCCAAAAATATCGTGGATCGCGCGAAAATAGTAATGTATCGCCTGCCCGCAACCAGCGCTTATGTTAAAATGCATGCATGTTGCCTGCGCATAGCTTATGAAATATCTAACTTGGGACGTTAAAAGCATGCACATCTCGTTTTCTCATTCGTCGCAGATCTTAAATCCATCCGTGGCCGGTGGTCAACGATTTCCTGTTACGGGCGACCAGACTGATACTGGTCAACTGAAGCCCGAATACCTTGTCCAAGAGCTGCACATGACGCCAGTCTGTCGCTCGTCCATCAGCAGGAATAACGTTTGAGCGGCTACTTATTTACGTTTTTAAGTTGCTGGTTTGGGGAAAGCCATTCTCAGTCTTAAATAGCGTCTGCTCAATAGCGTGCATAAGTACTTGTAATGTGGTAGGAAAAATACCGCTGTCAAATTGAGCACTCTAAATTTTGATATCCAATATTTATTTATCGCCACCGCATATACTACTTCAGGCCGAGATGGAGGCTGATGAAGACATCAAGCAGATGAACCAGATGATCATGCAGGCGAAGGTTTACGCTGTCCGAGACGCGCAGGTAGAGGAGAAGAAGGTCATCGCGAAGGAGATGATGGAGGAAGAGCGACGGTTGGATCACATGATGGAACAGGTAGGCTGGTGATGCGCTCTCTTGAAGGAAGCGTTCCACATTTACATGGGTTTTTTGGACTGAAATAGCCATCTCGAAGACTTTTCTGTGATGTTTTAAGTCTTGCCCTTCGTAAGTGCTAAAGCCCTCTAGCTTCTGAGTTACAACCCCGCGAAAATGGGGAAGGGTTTATTGGGGAGAGCATTTCAAAGCCACATTGGCACTCATGTCATCTTAATAACGTCTTTCAACTCCTGTCATTCCATAAGGCATGCGGCGATCAAGGCCAAGAAAAAAATAAAATTGTCGAGACGCTCACATCTGGCGTTCGTGGGCGCGATTTCCAGATAGAACGTCCGTCAATTGGCTCTCAGTGTTGCACGGGGTACGATGACGTAATTAAGCCATGACTCATTGAGGAACATATCTACTAAACAGAGAATTGTTCTGTCGAGAGCAGTCTTTTGACTTAAAATGTAAATCAACAGTTCTAAGTGAGCTTGCGTCATCATATCTGATGCTCGTTTCAATATCTTCAAATGTGAAACATTCGCTTTAATATCGTATACTGCTTTTTCCTAAGATTGTGTATCCCGTTTGTTTCTCGCACTATCCTATCCACGATGAAGTCGCTTTAGACGGACGCGTGCCTTGCTGTAGGCGGCCGCTGTGCTGGTTCGTGACGAGCGTCGGCGCCTGACGGCTGGGTCGGGCCGGACAGGAGCGTCAGCGGGACCTGGCGGAGCAGCAGAGACGCGAGGAGGAGCGGCGCAGGGTCAGGGAGAAGCAGAAGGCCGTCATCATCGAGCAGATCGCCGAAAACGAGGAGCACAGGATTCTCAGGGCCGAGAAGAAAAACCAGGTAGGCCAACACAGCGGGGTGTTTTTATCGTCATTGTTCACTTTGTTTTACGGCCGTGATTTTTTGTAAGTGTGTATCGTGGTTCCGTAACCCGCAAAGGTAAAGAAATAACCTTCATGTCATGCGTCAAGAAATGCACACGACCGAGGAGCGCTGGTAGTCAACACGCTCATGACGTGCGCTTTGCAAGGCCGTAGTCACTATGCGGCTATGTGGTCATAAACGACTGACTTTCAGCAGGGAAGGTAGTCATTTGTCCAATCAGTGTGTATTTCTTTTCTTTCACGTGGCATGCCATTTTCCCAGGAAGCTGAAACGATAAGGAAAAAGATACGCAAGATGCAGCTAGAGGATCTTGAGGCAGACGAGGCAAAGAAGAAAGCGCAACACGAAATGCACGAATCTTTGCGAATTGCCAACGAGGCCATGGAAGAAAAGAAGAGAAACCAGAAGGATTTCGCCAAGCTTGAAGAGGATCAGGTATCATTCGTCGTTCCCGTCGTCTTGTACTTGTTTCATCGGAGCCCAGAGCACAGTTAAACCTGAAACCGTGTTATTCGTCGCGGACGGGGGCTAGGCTGGCGACCAACAGTTCGGTGATGGGATCTCACTCCTGCGCAGATTCGAGAATACCAACGCCAGAAGGCGGAGCAGGAGGCCAAGTACGAGGAGGAGCAGGCGGCTCTGAAGAAGGCCAAGGAACTCGAGATCGCGAAGATGCGGGCGATGCAGCAGCGTGAGCAGGACAGACTGGCTGGCGAGCACGAGAGGCGAGCGCGCCGCGACAGGGAACGGGTACGCCTGCGTGTGCGCCGTGGCGGTTTGCTTCCATCAATCAGATATTGATGTCGTCTCTTACCCTGATTCGTTGCATTCAGGCCGCGTGGGTGGAGTTATTTAGAGCGTCACGGTTTCGTACGATGTTGATGTTCATTATTTGCTCAGAGCAAATTTCGCGCGCTACATTTTCAACATACGAGTCATGAACTGTCAGTTTGGTATTTTAAACATTTGGCAGGCATCTTCCTCCCCAAAGAAATTGCCTGCAACAGCTTAACCACTCTGCGACTTTCATGCATGCATTGTTCCGGCAATGTCCTCGCCGCCGGATCAACGCATCACGCCCTGGCCAGAAAGGGTAACGTTTCCCGGACGGACGGCCCCTCGTGCTCGCTGTCTGCTTCTCGCTCCGCGCATGCTCCTGTGCACATGTCAGCCCCCCACCGCAGATGGAGCGCGAGTGGCGGCGCAAGGAGCTGGAGGATGCGCGGCTCAAGGCCGAGAACGACGCGGAACTGAAGCAGGCGCGCCACAACCAGGTGGAGCAGCGCGAGCGCCAGGTGGCCGTGGAGGCGCAGCGCGAGCGGGCCGAGTTCTATCGTATCCTACAGGCGCAGAAGGAGGCCGAGGCGCTCAGCCACGCCGACGACGCCATGCACAAACTGGTACGTGGGACGCCGGCGGTGAGCGGGCCGAGGGCTGGGAGCCAGGCGCTCGTGGTGTGTGGCACTGGGGTGGACGTGGGCCAGTTTTGAGGCGTCTTATGTTTCAAGGACGTACATTTAGGGTGATTGGATGTATGGTCTGAAAGTTCTCCAAGTTAATTTCTACAGAACGGCAGAAAACTGCGGTGTCCAGTCAATTTTTGAACAACAACGAATCCTTGCTAAAAGTTAGAACGACCTTCAGCCCCTGTTCTTTTCACCATGATGAGTTGGGAGTTCTTATTCTGACACTAGCAACATCCACTTTACCATGAGATACTGATGAAACGACGCTATGGAGCAAGCATTGGCTGTACGAAAGGAATGCTTGTACGGAGCATCGTCCTTGTCTGGTGTGTTAGCATCTACGTGGCGTTTCGGCCAGCTTATTCTCCGGCCGTCAACAGCTGTCGCTGAGTACTGAGAAGCACTGGACGGTCTAGGCTTTCAGCCAGGTACGCGTCACAGTCCGAATTTTGTCCCTGGAACTGCTGAGATTCGAGCCTTGTCTTCTGATGACAAGGCCAGTGCTCTTCCACTGGGCTAACCGGAAATGGGCAACCACAGTGAGCACCCCTCGTCCGCTCCGGTTGGCCCAGTAGTGGTAGAATGCTGGGCATGTAGCCAGAGGGCCAGGCTTCGAATCCCATCAGCTTCAGGGACGGAAATGGGTTGTGACGCGTGCATAGATGGCTGAAGGCCAAGCAACATGCGGTCCTTAGGGCTCAGTCACACTTGACGACGGTCTGACGATTCCTGGATGTAACGTTGTGTAAATACAAACACATGAAGTCGTGGATGATAGTCGGGCAGGAATTACATTCCTATTACTAATGTCCCGTCTCAGCCATTCCGTAGAACTAAGCGTTGACTGAGCGGACAAAACCGAATTGGTCGATATGGCTGATGTTTGCTTGCTAACGTCGTTCAGTACCTTCTGCTATGCTGAAGGGCGATTGGTGTCGGATTAGAACTCCGAACTCATGACAACAAAAAGCATCGGACGCCATTGCCACATTTGCGCGTTCTTTTCGTCATCAACGCAAAAGACGAAACCTATATCATATTGAAGAATCCTGTGTGGTATTCGCTTGTAATTAAGCCCATGTGATGAGATAAAGCGTAATTGTTACGACGTTCAAACAAAAGAGCGAAGAAGTAAATGTACCACAGAAGCACCCCGCCAGAATCTCTGCATTTTATCACAAAGTGACTTTTTGTATGCCAATTCTTTGTAAATGTAAGACTAGTTAGGTTCCTCTCCTTCGATGCCCTGAGAGAATAGGGGTGGGGGGAGGGGGGGAGGGGTATGTCCATCATGTCAGGTATCTCAATTCGCCTCACTTTCCATCAGCTGGCCGTACTTCCTATTCATTTCTTCTTCTTTGTTATCGTACCAACAAGAAGTTCTTGGCATCATGTCAGTGCAGTATGCTTCCCATCATTCAGCCACAAGTTATTTTCTGGAGAGGACCCTTCGCTTGATGGGCCTGGCTCTGTTGGGCTGTCACGGTTTTAGGTCTAGCCTTAGGGTCTTGGAACAGTGATATGTATACGTGCATCTTGTCTGCAGCGTAATGAAAAACACCTGGTGCTGCTGAAAAAGCAAATGTGCGAGATGGAACAGAAGCGCGCGGCCGACCGAAGGCGGGTATTTGAGGAGGGCATGCACACCCGGATACTGGAGGCGCAGAAGCAGCAACAACTTATCGAACACAAGAAGAAGAAACTCGAAGAACTTAGGTGAGGCTGAACAAATGATCACGGCGCTACCTAGTGATTAGCAGGGGAGTTCGTTAGAATCGTGCCAGGGGAATGACTGATATTTTACAGTATGATGCAAGGTTTGAGAAGACCATTTTTAGAACAACGGAAGGTCGTTATTTGTGTTGCGATGAAACGCAAGACACTTGCGGAGCATGCACCGATACTATCTGGCCTTTTTTCCTGAGACGTAACGGACATAACCCATGTTTGACTTTCAGAAAATACAAAGTTCCCGAGAAGTATCTGAACGACGTGGCGCGGCGAGCCCATATCGCTTCTGAACTGCCGACATCGAAGGCATAGGGTCCAGCGGCCTGGCCCGTGTCACTGTCATCACGAAGCCGCACATCGCGAGCCGAGAATATACGCCATGCGCGGATGAACGACCGACGGCGCCAGTAGACCCCGCGACGTAAAGAGCGTTTCAAATGCCACGCGCGACAAAAGTAGTCTGGCCACGGGTTGTAATAGGACACGGCTTCTCCACTGATGCTTCACGCAGTATGCGCTGAGTATTTAGAGTAGGACGCATATGGCTGAGAATGTTCCTGTGGTTGGTTATATTTTATGCACGAATGTGTCCAAAGTGAGAGAGAGCATTGACGTCTGGATCTTTTAATGTCACTTGGCCTCTCCAAGTTTCCACCAGTCTCCTTTAATGGCATCACTAGTGCTGATAAATCTTCTTCTTTCCATGCCCTGTGTCACGAAGAAAACCACAGTACAGTTATCTTCAAGACAGAAATGACTTAGAAGCAAAGTGAAATCGCGTGTGATGCGAATCGTATCTATAAGCTTTGAATACATTTTCTTGAGCTGTGTTTGCGTCCGGTCTAACAATGGCGCTAGGAACCGTGACGGTGGAACCTTCTAAATGTGTGTGAAATAATGTTCCTGTTTCGCTTTCATGCCACGCAACGGCGTAGGATTAATGCTTGATGATTAGCGACAGCTTCCCGTTTCCTAAGAGAAGGCACTCCCAATACACACCCCATGATAATGAAGCGACACCCTCGCCGAGACTAAAGAGCAAATCCTGTCGGGTCAAGGCGACGACGATCCTCGCGCGCGGCGCCGTTCCCGGAAAACCAGTGACACAGCAGCCCGGCGGCCGTCCCCGCCACTAACGGAGTGATAGGGACCCCGATACCGGAGAAATAGGCTGGGTGGGCTTCTGTATTCGAGTGCCGTTATCGCGAAGGCCGGCTGACAACGGGGCCCCTGATCATATGTCAGCTGTTGTTTGCACGTTTACAACTCTCCCTTTCAGGAGAGATGCTCCGCAAAAACGAGGACTGTTTCGCGATGGATGTGTACTTCCGACGTCATTATGCGTGCCAGTCGCCATAGGCCTAATGTGACGTCTAGACATTGCCTCCCCTACCCCCTTCCCCACTAAATCCGGCAAGCACGCAGTGACCCGTCAAATTTTTTGGCGCCTACAGGGGACGTGTTAGCCTTCCGTACCACTTTGCATGCTATTTACGATCTATCAAAGATAGCTCCGAAACCTCATAAACATTCGTAGCTTTCTTTTCCGCGTATTGTGAGGCTATTGTTCATGCCTTGATCAATGGCTATGTGCAGGCAAAGGGAAGGGGAAGGGGGCAAAAAATGCGATGAGTGGGGGAGAGCTTTTATTTTATCCATGTATTTCAGCTCATGTACAAGAAAATCTGCGAAATTTTGCGAGACAGGACGGGTCAGATCACCCCTCGAACGCAAGCAGGTCCCAAACCACACTGTAGTGTCAGATGGGAGCGTAGTGCTCACAAACGGGTTAATGGCTGTCATCTGTTGCAGGGAATGTTCCGCAAATCACACGGCACACGCCCGAATGCGAAGCCCATAAGTGTTTTTATGACTCGGGACCTTGCTGGTGGGGCCAATGTAGATTCAGCGACGGATGGAATGAGAATTACACCACTGACCTTTAAATCGCGTGGCGTATGGTCTTAATATGGCATATGGATCATGGCACGCAGGTATCTGGCAGCACAACTTACTTTGCATCATTAAATGTTGTTTGACATGTCAAATGGCATGCACCTTTATCATACCATATGATGTAAATATGTTGTTTGGCCTTTCATGCTGCCGCTCCACACGCATTAACACCCACAACCCACATTCAACAACACTCACACCCACGCGCATTAAGGAACATTATTCACATAGATAAAACAGTAGTATCAGCATTATTCCTCGGGAAAAAAAACAGGAGAATGGAGATATAGTTTGGTTGGTATTTCTGCAGCATGCCTTCATCGAAACAAAAGCAAATGACAATCCTTCAAAGTTGGGGAGGGGCAATTTTGAATTCACTTTTGCTTTGTGTCGATAAAGCCATGTTGCCGAAATATCAATCAGACTATATCTCCATTGTCCTGTTTTTTCCGAGGAATAAGACTAAGTCTACTGTTTTATCTATGTCAGTAATGTTCCCCGCTAATGCACTGAACGACTTACGTCAATTATGCCACGGGAACATCAAAATTGGCCCGATTTGGATAACATTCACACATCCCCGTGCCGTGCATGGCTTAACGTATGTATTTTTGCGAGCGAATTTGGACCGCCACGAATGGTTGTGTGTGTACCCCGCGAGTAAGTACGTTCTTAGTACTTAATACATACGGACCGTTTCCATAGAAACTTTTGTTCTGAAAAGCTTTTGTCAATGCGAGTATCTTACATTTGTACTTCGTATCGTATGTACAATTGGTATTCAGAATTTTGCCTCCGAATTTCTGCGAACGTACTTTGTCATACGAGCTTCACGCATTGCATGCATCCGCTTACGAATAATTACGTGCGTACTTCATGCCGACGCATTCTTTCAATGTGGACTTTTTATCCCCAGTTCGCGGACCATCGATTTTTTCACAGAAACCGGTAACTAAACCCGAATTAACTCTTGTCGCACTATACACCCACCCAATCTCATGACCTCTAGATCCAAGATCTTCAATACGCGCTCGGTTGGGGAGGGGCAGTTTGACCCCCGAAGGTTTTTCCGAAAGGCTTTCCGAACAGTGCGGTGTAGCCACACCACATTTTGCATAGCTACAGATAATTGAATAGCGTTTCGTTTGGTATCGAAAATTAAATGTACCATGCAAGGCCGCTAACATACCGTAGGTTAAAGTCAGACCATGGAATCAGCGAGGTCAATTTCTGGGGATTTTTTAAATCTGATGCAGCAACGGAGTATTAGATAAAGTCGTACATCTCTGAAGTACTGTATTTGGCAACACAGCAATTGAATGAAGAAACTGCATTGACCAAGGATCAGGTATGAAGGTCAGACCAAAGTAAAAATCATCCTGTTTTATTACTCCAGGGGTTGCTGTTTGAAGCAGCTTCTGGTGCTCAGTTCGAAATTATTGATAACAGAAACTGCATTATACATCTCCCATTGACTTCTTAAACGTTGGAATGGGTCACGTACCTAACCTGACTCAGGTGAACGTTTTGTTTCTAGGAACATACCGTCTAGCATAATCTTTGTCGCTTATTCAGTTGCAAATTGAAAGCAGTCTTGTATGATTTTTATCGCCATGACCTTCGAAAGGTCGAATAAGGTCACTGCACTCAAATGAGCATGTGACCTTTCGCTTAGAGCAGGTATCTAGGTTCTGGGGGCACTTTGGAGGCGAACCTGGAGTTTGACCTG